AAAGCGAACTTAAGTTCATTCCCTCTAGGTAGATCAATCAGAGGCTGCATGAAATGAGCGCAGCGAGGAACGAAGCGTCGATAGTAGTTGACCAAACTACAAAACCGACGGAGGTGCTTGAACGAAGTCGGAGCTGCGAAGTCCTTGATTGCCCGATCTTATCTGGAAGGACTTCAATACCAGACGATGAAACGAGGTGGCCTACCGTTGATTTATCCAGTTCGTAGTTAGTGGGTTGACTGTGACACCGTGTTGGGTAAAACGCTGGAAGAGAGTTCAAAGCAGGTAGACGTGCACTTGTCCCGAGGAAATGGCTACTAAAATATCACCTAGGTAGGAATAAGCGAAGTCTAGGCCACGAGTGACATCGTGGATGAGGCGTTGGAAGGTTTGTGCGGCGTTGCAGAGTCCAAATGACATTCTTAAAAATTAAAACAAGCCGAAAGGAGTGATAACGGCTGTTTTAGGAATGTCATTTTCTTCTACAGGTATCTGGTGATAGGCGCGAACCAAACTTATCGTGCTGAAGATCGTCTTACCTGTGAGATATGCGGTAAGATCTTGCATATGTGAGATGGGATACCTATCTGGGACCGTAAGCCGATTGAGTGCGCGGTAATCACCGCAAGGGCACCAGTCACCAGATTTCTTGAGGACCATCTGCAGGGGAGAGGACCAAGGGCTGTCGGAAGGGCGGATTATTCCAAGTTCGAGCATGTGCTCAAACTCCGCCCTAGCTACCTTTAGTTTCTCGGGCGATAGTCTGCGTGGAGGGGATGAGACGGTGGGCGATTCGTTCGTATGTGGTGAGTGACTTGGAATGCCAGGGGTAAAGCTGCGTTCAATGGCTGAAAGAGCTTGGAATACTGGGAAAAGAAGTTGGCGTAGTCTGGGGAAAGGCGTAGACCGGTGTTATAGATACGATATCGGCGCTGATGCCAGTTACACTGAGTTTCGTTGCAGTGACGACTATCATCTGGCGTTTCGCATCGACCAAGAGGGCGAAATGCCTGAGAAAGTCAATGCCGATGATGGCAAAGGGGACTGCAGCGACGTTGAATACCCAGCGGAACGTGCGCCGATGACCTAGATCCAGGGTAAGCGAGCGATGACCGTAGGTGGCTATTGGCGTGCGACTGGCGGCACTTAGGCTTGTCGACAAAGAAGCGATACGCTCACCTGGCACAGGGGGAATGACGCTGACTTCCGCCCCGATATCGACTAAGAATTGGGTCTTGGAACCACAATTCCTAATGTAGATGAGACGACTTTGGGCTTTGCCGATGTCGTTTGTGACCATTACAGGCCGGAATGGCGGATCATCTGTACCGGAGTAGCTACATGGCTGTACGCACTTATGGGTTTTATTACCGAAACGCGAGTGGTAAAAGCAGTAACCTGAGATATCAGGTTTTGTACGAAGGAGCGATGATCCAGAGCGACTGCTGTGCTTACGGTTTAAAGTGAGTTCCTCGATCTGGCATTGAAGCGACGCTATCTGCGACAATACTGCGTCTATTGTCGACGGCTGGCTAGTCGTGGGTGTCGGTGTGGTTGCGCCCGCACAAAGCTGCTTAGGTGCTTTCGTTTTAGTCTCTGGCTGGTGCCGTTCGATGACGCGGTCTGCTAGATCTACAATTGCTGTGAGTGGCAGGTCACTTGCTACTACAAGTGCGTTCAGGAAGTCGTTGCATCCATAGCTCGAGGAGAATCCCTAAGTCCATGTTGGATGAGCTGTTACATTTCGCGCAACAAGGCTAAAGGGATCCTATCTTCAAGTTGCAGATCACTAAATAGTCGCTGCAGACGGACCTTGTCAGAAGACGTGATTCCCTGAGTAATAGTCTATTTAAGAGTCTCGTATTTCCTTACAAGAGAGAGCAAAATATGATGTCACGCAACTGCGAGGACATACTCTGAGGAAGGTGAGATATTAGCTGAGTATACATTGGGTAATCAGAAGAAATCCTACGAACGTAAAAATATGGATTCTAGGTGCAAAAACCATAAGGAAGGATCATTCTCCCAAAAAGGTGGGGGCAAATGCAACAGAACTGAAGATAACAGGCTCTACGGCGATGGCTCATCTTCTAGATAATCCAATGCAAAAAGCGGATAAAAATGTGGTAGGTGAGGAAACAATATGATCACAAGTAATGAATTGCAAAATCACTGGAACGATCTTATCAAAATAGAAATTCAAAATGGCGGACGGCGTGTCTTGCACCGGGGGGTCATCAATATTTGGGTGGCGCCTAGGATACTAGTCGGTAATCAATGACACGTAAGAGCTGCGTCAAATACGAGACAGCATAGAAGTTGGAGACTACTGAACACGTGTATTGTGCAAGCTACAAAATAGGAAACGAATGAATCAGAGCGACAAACGGCGCAGCTAGATACTCAACAAAACAATTTATGTCAACGAAAGTGCCGTAAGTGATTCCAGTGGACGTTAAAACAACGGTAAAATCCAATGTTGCAAAATACTGAAAGAACGTGTTTGTCGGTACACTACAGGCTCACACATCGTGATCCCTCTCCAAAGACTAACAGACAGACTGTGATTTCTCAAGTACACTAGTCACCAAATTCCTTAAACGAATTTCTCATTGTTTGATGATTCTCCGGCTGGCTTTGATCTCACTTTGGGTACAGGATGTGTCACATCCGTATTCGAGGCCGTGGGTCTGTTCATGCCGGATCCAAGGCCACCAGTTGGCTACTGCTGCTGCTGCTGTCCGTGCATAGCGCATTCGGCTCGTGGCTGGACAAGATCACAGACTAAAATACCAGGCAACAACTGAGGGCATCAAACCCAGTTCCAAAAATTCTGTAAGACCAAAACTGATTCCATCCCCATCACTGCACCACAATTCATTGCCACGTGGACTAACGCGTGGATTAGTGGAATATGTGAGTTGGCCAGAGCGAACCGAAGAAGTCTGTTTACGTATCTGGTCTTCTGATGCGTTCAAAACGACAGTCGCGAGCGCTAGATAGTTTGGAAGTACCCAACCTCAATGGTTGTTGGTTTGATGGGCGAATGTCTTCTAGGCCGTCTTGGTGCGCATTGAAAAAACCGGTATCAGGGTAATTCTTGTGATTCTTTTCAGGAAACTCCACAAAGCGACCGTAACAAAAGGTGTTCCATCGAATGCGTCAATCAGTAGTGGCAGTAGAACAACGGTCAAATGAATAGACATAGAACCAGGCAGAACCGTGAAATTCAGTGGATGACAGGAGAAGTAGCCGCAGCATCATCATTAGAAGATATTAGTTGAAGGTCAGCGACACACTTCAGCGACCGTGCCGCAGGAAAGAAAAACGGATGCTCATTTGTCATCTCCATACGCCATTTTATTTTTAATTTTTTGTTGTTAGGCGTTGAGTATCTGAATCTAAACAAGTACGTACACAGATCTTCCACTGGTTTCGGTCGCGAGCCATATCCTGACTTGGTGCCAGCCATCCGCACTCTTCATCCTTAGGTGCCCAATCACCCAGGCGTGTAAACCCAAAGTGAAGTCAATGATTTCATATGCTGTCGCCAAGTGGATGATAAACCACCACGTGGTCTCTTTCAATCGAGTTGTTATAGCGGTAGTAAAAAAAACCCACACCACTCCCCGTTGTCTTTTGAGTTAACCTGATTCACCCCTATTCAACCCGCCACTTTTTTACCGTTCCCCACATTGGTTTCTCTTGACTCATATTTGTGATTAGCTTCTAGTTGACACTGAATCTTGTGCTCATTAGTTTTTCTCTTACTCTTTGTAGTTCGCTCGTTCGTGAGGCACCGTATCGATCCTTCGCCCGTAGAATGACCAGCTTTGATTGATCGAATGTCAGCTATTCTGTACAGCCCTGATTTGAATGATTCCCTTGAGCTGAACTCACGAACGCTTGGTGGCCGGTTTGGCGTGCGGCGAGTAACAATGTTTCGTACCCGGATTGCCGTGCGTGCGGAACCAATCGTGGGGTCGACACAGTACGAGTCATGCACGAGAAAACAGAGCGCGATAGGGCAAACGCTCAGCTGACATACGCAGGACGTGGCAGAGCTATGTCAACTGGTGCAGTAAAACCAGCCTGTTGTAGGGAATACTAGCAATCACTAAGACACGAAAGCTGACCTCACCGTTGCATATGCGTTGTTGCCACCATACACGAGGAATTCTCCTCAAGCACTTATTATCGAAGGCCGAGAGCCGGCGAATGTCACCTACGCGAACTGGCCATGATTCGCTGCCATACAGTAACACTGCCCGAACCGTGGCACTATAAACACGAGGTAAACAAGAGGCGGGACACGCCAACCGAACTTACATCGCAATAATAACGATAGGTAACAACGACAAGGTAGTGAGATTGAGTGCAAATATAATGTAAAGAGAATGGAAGCAAGGAGTAAGTGCATTAAATTAATCAAAGTGAAATTAAAAGTAACAAGCAGACGCAAGAAACCGATTGCGCGAGCGCCGATGACTGAGTGACTGCGCCATGCCTGATACGGTCTCCAGCCATTGGTGTGGATCATCCAGAGGCCCCTGTCTACGCACGAGCCTGACCAAGTCTCTCGGTCAATTTCTTCACGCCTTTATGCCACATTAGGTGGACCTTGCAATTTCACCGTCTAGTGGAGCCACGGCGCATAATGCACACCGAGGAAATCAGTCAAGGGGTATATAGAGGACATGAACTAGCCGGCGTAAGCGGTGAAGAATCAGCAAACACTCGAATGAGGCGCCAGAAGGCTTCTTGCCAAAAACCAACTGGCGGACCTCAGCATTGCCCATTCGTTGTCCAGACGTGAGCAATACTACCTAAGCACCAGTGGTCACACATGAAAAAGCGTTTAATGTCTTCAAACCGAACTATCTACCTTCTTTGATCCATATAGAGGACACAAGGCAGTTGAGTCACAATTAATCCCGTTGGTTTAAATGTGAGAAAAAGTCAAAACGTAAATCGCAAGAATGTTAAACAGAAGAACTGGGGACCTAGAAGATGGGTGCGTGTATTGCATCAAAGTAAGAACGTCCTTTGATATCACAGCCAGATTGAAATAGAACACATAAGATAAAAGATAAGAAGATAAAAACACGATAGTGTCAAAGAAAAAAGTATGACCTAGCTGGAGTTAATGGGTAAAAGGAGAGGGCGCGAAAACTGGACGCCATCCAAGTCATGAGGGTCTTCACAGCATGCTTCACAGAAAAGTGTCGTCGTTTGTTAATCCAAAGCGACGACAATTATAGACATCGGGGAGGCAAAGGAAAGAAAAAAACACGGATCAAAGTGTCAGCATTCGCGAGTACGATTATCTTTGACGGAAATAAAGAACCGTGTGGGCCTCAGCTGTTGCGGTGTTCTCTCGGTCTCTTTCACCAGGAAAGACGGTCTTGAGGATGACAACTGCTTAACCTGGATCCAGGAAGTCAGGTCTGCGGTTGTGCTGGAAGTGGGAGTGAACTGTAGGACACGACACAAATGAGCAAAGCTCGGACGTTGTTCAGGGTCGGAGAGCCAACAATGATTCATTTGGACACGAACTAAAGCAGGCATGTTCTCCGGGGCTGGAAGTCGATACCCTGAGAATAATAGAGCAAGTAAGTGGCGAAAAAGCACGGATGAAATCGTGATAAAAACGGCATGGCTGATTATTATATCATGGGTTCCTAAAGAGAAGAGTGCAAGTTGCACACCGTAAGTACCCCGCATCGTAAACAAAAACCTGGAATGCAACAGCGACAGCGAGACTTAATCTATGCAACCAATAACAAATGGCGATGAAAGACGATAAAATAAAGGCAATACGGCCAGCTATGACCGGTTCACTCCGGAAAAGCACAAAGCAGACCAGCAAAATGGAGAGAGAGTAACAGTTTGGGAAGGCAAAACAGTTACTCCAATGGATAAAGCAAGCTGCGGCAAAAAGTGGACTGAAACATATACCAGGCATTCGTCACCTAGAGAAGCATAATCAGCCTGCTCGATGACTAAGAACAAGGCCGTTGGTCACTAGCGCTGCTTCGCTGTCAACAGGTACTTGAATGATAAGTCCAAGCGGTACAAATGAAAAGCGTTCCTCCGTTGTGTTAGACGCTATGAAGATGAGCAATGTGGGGCATCACAATGGTCAGTAGAGTTGGCCCAACTAGACCCAATTAGGCGGACAGTACACAGATGGAAGGCCAATTCGCCTGATAATGACCTTGAGGGAATCGAACCGAGGACCAAATAACTGGCAAGTTTGTGAAGAAAACCCACAGCAGCGTTCCGGACACTAAGCGGCAGCCCCTCTGTGCTCAGCGAGGACGAATCTCTCGTTCGAATCTCCATAAAAACCCATTAGCACGTTTAAGGAGTTACAAAAATGGAGCGGCAACTTTGGTGGACATAACGATATGGAATAACCAAAGTACAGATGTGTCAGTCTAATTTGATGTTGGATTGCATGTCCAGTTCAGTCGAACAATTATGATCCGAGCACCGAGGTGCAGGGTGGATCCAGTTGTCACGACTCACATCGCAAGAACAATAATAAATAACAACAGCAAACTAATGGGGTTGAATGCGAAAAGAATGTAAAGAAAAATAAGCAAAAAGGTAGTGGAGGGTTTCGATGTGGCTCTCTCCCATCCCTGCACTCCACGACCGACGGTTTCGTCTTGGTTTAGACTCTTCAGGTAGAGATAGCGCGTCGCAATCCAAGACACACGGCGGGTGCTCCAAAAACCCGAAAATCAAAAAGGTAGTGCATTAGAACAACCAAAATGGAACGAGAATGAACAACCAAATGCAAGAAAGCGAATGCAGGGACGCCAATGACTGCGTGACTACGACATGTTTGATACTGTCTCCAAACATTGATGTGCACCGTCCCGAGACCCCTTATCCACGAAGACGACACACACTAACCAGACCAAGTCTTTCAGTCAGTTTCTTCATGCTTCTATGCCATGTCATCGAGTAAGCACCTCGCAGTTTCGCCCAAATTTAATTCAACCACAACGTACAATGCACGCCGAGGAAGCCGGTCAACGGGCATACGGAGGATATGGCCTAGCCAACGTAAGCGATTAAGATTTAGTACGCGCTCGAGTGAGGAACCAGAAGGCCTCTCGCCCAATGCACTAGGGAAGAGAACCATTGGCAAGGTATAAAAGTCAAAATAAGGGGAAATAATCCGATATCATTAAGAATATGGTTAAAAACAACTAACGAGTTGCTAAATACTCTCATATTGCATACATTCAGCGCGCTTCTTAGCCTCATCCAGCAAAATAAATGACACGAATATATATATATATATATATATATATGCGTATATATATATATATATATATATATATATATGTTTGGCGGAATCCGGTTTCGGATTTGCCCGTCCCTGTGGCAAGCCACAGGACGCCTGCGCCTACAGAGGGACCATGGATGACTTGCGCTGCACCATCCACAGCTCCAACCACACACCCCATACCCAGTGTAAACCCGAAGGAATAAGACCGGGAGGCATGCGGATGGGAGCCACGTTTCATCAACGGAGCCGGCCCACACGCTTTCACGGGTAAACACAAGCACGCCATATTTGAGAAGCAAGCGCACATAAGGCCGTGGCTGGACCGTAGTCCGCTCCACACCGAGTGCATGGAACCGCTCTCCGAGCATGGCACGGCCACAATCACCGTGCACCCTGTCCCCTCCAGCAACGACCAACTGTCTTCTGGAGCCAGATGGACGAGGTAGTGGGTAATAGACAGGTAGGCACCTTGTCAACATGCACATCAAGTGCAGTCACACCGGGGATATCAAGCAACAGCTAATCACTTGAAACGACAAGATGAAATAAAATAAATCCAATAATGCATACAGATGCGGTGACATAACTCTTCGCTCAATTAGCATATGAAATAAGTTGGTTAGCAACGGATCCGCGATAAGTAAAAAATGTCCAGAAGTTATTTAAAAATGATACAAACGCAACAAAGTTATCGAAAATAAGTGCAATTAGCGTAAGTAACATGGCCAATTAATAGAAGATTATTCAGGCAGACAGAACATACCAAATAAAGTGGAATGAAATTTATCTAGCTTAAAAAGACCTAGTTTAAGTGTAAGTTGGCTTAGCCCAACTGCGGTGAAGAAGCACCAAGAATGCAACACTAGCCTCAGCATATATATATATATATATATATATATATATATATATATATATATATATATATATGTATATATATAATATATAAAGGAAGAGGCCAAAACTCGACCTACCGGACTCCACCATTTCCCGTGTCTGTGGGTTAGACCAAAATCGATAGGGTACGTCACCGAAAGTGAATATTTCCCACAACAGCACTCCGTAGGACCACACATCACATTTGCTGGTATAGCGCCCGGTAGCCAGAGCCTCTGGAGCGGTCCATTTAATAGGGATTTGACCATGGCGATCGCTTAACTGCAGGGAAAGTGAAGGAGGAAAACACCAAGGGACAGGGGATTAGATGCGAGTTGCAAAATCGCTCGATTGAGATTGGACGGATGGATGTGTGATAGGAAAGAAGAGAACGGAAATGTAGAAAATCGGAAGTAAAACAATGTTTATTACATATGCATGATGTCTGCTCAGAATGAACAGTTAGGATGCACATGATAGCAGCTACAACTACGCAAAGAAAAATGGAGATCGTCAACAAAAATCGACTAGGCCACACAAATAGAGTAGTGGAAGCAGTCATAGGCAAGAGTAATCAGGAGCCAGCAGTCGACTGTATGGAGAGGGCGATGAAGGTAGTGGATGAAAGCTAGCAATACAAAAGGTGTAAGAATGATCGACCATCAGTGAGCTACACACTGTCATCCTTCAGCCTAAACCTAACGGGCAATGATTTGGAGTGTTGTAGAAGGGACATATTTGTTAAGGAAATCAACGAGGCACATGTTCGACGACGGTAGACAGCTCTCTCTATCATTGAGGAGAACGGACATCTGTGAGCACGACAGATAAGACAAAGAAAAATTCTGTTCTAATGTTGACAGCATCACAGATGCATAATGGAGGTTCCGAGTTCCGCAGCTACCAAAGAGTATGAAGTGATCACTTGACCCCGGTTTCCCGTGGTCATAAGATAACTAATTAGTGAGTGACTGGCGAACAGTATTCTCGCCATAAAAGCGATTACTAACTGGCTAACTGGCTGCTTTAAAGGTGGAACTGTCTGGATGACACAAAAAGATGGATGCTTAAAAGGGTCTCAACGTCCAATTATTGGAAGTTTTTGCAAGGGATCGCACTTCCGTGTTAAAAGGCCTAGCGAATCCGGGCTAGGACTAGTATCACGCAAGAGGAGCGTAGTAGATGCTCGGGAAGCAAACACGTTTAACTGATGAAGGCTCCACTCACTTCGTAGATATCTTCTTCTCTAGACATTCCGAAATCGGCGATCTTCAATCGACCTGTCTCTGTTACAAGACAATTGCGCGCGGCCAAATCCCTATAAAAGGAAAAATGGAGATAACATAGTTCCACTTGTAGTTCACTGATGAGTCGGCGAATCGTACATATTTATCAAACATTCCGTAGGATACTTTAAAAGAGAAAATTCTCTGAACTCTGTGAAGTCTGTGCAATGGAACGAACATAATTTTACGGACTCAACTCACATCACCACAGTAGAATACTAACAACAACCGTAAGCATAAAAAGGAGAAAATAAAAGGTGTAATGAAGAAGGAAAGGCCGCAAGGCTATTGTTGAATGAGGGAAGTGACATGGGATAAGTCAAGTCTAAAAACAAGGCTAATTACGTGACGAGGTCACGGTCTGGCAATGCACCCAGTCGAGTTTCGTTGCTCCCCTCTCCTCTGTAATCAAGTAGCCAATAAGGGGTTGCACTAAACTAGTTTAAGCATGCATAGGAAAAATGCACGTCGAAAAATGCACGGCCGAGGCCGTGTACGCGAGCTGAGCGCTAGAGCTAGTCCGGTGCGGTGTCAAAGAGCCTATGCGAATTTGAAACAACGGACTAGTGACCTTAATGAGCAAATTAAGACAGGGAACGATCAGCAAGCACAATCATTCTCATCCATTCAAGACACAGCGACCCTATCACTAATCTACGCAACAGAACTGGCCATTGGAGGGAATTTGTCAGCAGAGTTGTGTCTAAGACTGATGTCTGGCCGCTTCGAGAATTGAGAACACTCAAACCAGCCTGATGGACGTGATTAGCAACTTATACAGTAATTTTATAACCAGAAATGACAGAAGCGCACGTCCACTTCCCGTAACGGCGCAACAAAGATGAGGACTGACGGTACCTTGGTGTAGAGTCCCGCAATAATTCCACGCGTTCTGAAAATACCACAGCAAACAGAGCGATGAGTGAGATCATTCAGCAATCCATGCAGTCATATCGTCGTTGAGCACCTTTATCGGGTCGGTGAGTTGAGGCAGCTTGCATAACAAATGGACATGTGTGCTCTACATTCTCTTACCGTCTAGCCAGTTGCAAGTTCACCCCGGAACGATCAAGTCAAACGTTGCTTCAGGATGTTACAGATGATTGGCATAAGCATCCTCTTCGATGTAGGCGAGTAAAATATATCAGGCAGGCTCCTCCACAATAGCGATTAACCAGGCTGAGTGGTCAAGGAAAGCAACTCCAACCCACTCTGGTGTCTTTCGTTGGATTTTTAAAATTGCTTGCGGTACCATGCGCTAAGATGACGAGTATGTTACCCCAAAATTGGGCGATTCGCCAAAGTCGGAAACAAAAAGGCATCAGTAGTATGCCTGTATGCAGTACCGACGATTCGCTGCCGCGCAACCACCACCAATCGCGTGAGGGCTAAGGAAACTTCGAGAGTCGCCCGGCTCCGTACGCATGATGGAACCCGCGACCTCAAATTACAAGGCAAGATTGTGATGCTCAAAACTATGGACCGGCTAAGTCGGAAGCATGCGTACGTTATACTTGTGTGTAATAAAGAAATCAAGTTATATGTCCCAAATCAACATGCACCATCCATCAAGTGATGCTGTGGGAATGCCCGTGTTAAAAAGTGAAGTTGTCTAGGTAGAAATCGTATCTTACGTAGAGAGAGACGACAATTAGAAGGGCACCGAGTCAAAAACACTACCCAAAAGGTGGGCTAGATTCCGTTGAGCGACCTATTTGAGCACAGTAGGATGATAGTCGTGGTCATACGCAAGAGAGCCGAAAGTTGCTGACAGTGTATAACGAAACAAAAAATGCGCCGTGCTCTTAAATAATTAATTGGTCTAACGGAGCCAAGGAGAAAAGCTGTGCATAAGAGGCAATTCATTTGAATTAAAAAAACTGAAATTTTTAAGCTGTCGAATCCAACATTGATACCGGAAATGTCTTGAGCAGTTGGAGAGAAGGCGAAGCACGATTTCGGAATCTAGCGGGAGTACGCTCATGAAAAAAAAATGAAATGTGTCAGCTTATACGCCGTAACGGCGCTTCGCTGACGCTCATGGCCAGTCTATACGCAACCTTGTAAAGGCTGGGGGTGATCAACAAATATTTCCCACAACTGTCCGATACACAACCGATAACGAGTGACTGCAGCTGAATTCCCGGGGGGGATATGTATCACATCCGTGCGTGTGTGTGGGTATTACGCATCCACAATTCGGTTGTTTACGCCACAAGTGAGTGATGTACACACAACGGTTGGCAACACGCGACACAGCAATAGTGAGCAAAAATGGCGTGAGCACAAATCAATGTGTTCGGAAATGCATAGCACCGTCACACGGCTCACCGATGTATGCAATTCTTTGATTCCAAATACGCCATTCCACTAGCCGCATCCGAGGCCATCAACAACAGCGTACTTTGTGTGAGTAAATTTTTCGATTTGCGCAAGTACGTCAACAATGAACCACCTGAGGTAACACGAAGGAGAAACGCATAAAATATATGCAAGCAGTGGAACACGCAGAGTCCAAGGTCATGCATGCAATGAGCCGTGACAACAAAGATGTGAGAAGAGTGACAAATCCGGCTATTAAAAAATCAACCCCTCTCTAGGCTGAGAAGCACTCAAGTTAGGTCAGCTAGGTGAGTATAGCCAAAGCGAGTGATGGACCACACTTCGGAAGGGGTTTTTGCGTGCCATATTTTACGTACACGTGAACTAAGCGAAACGACAGACGAATAGATGGGGATGCAATAAATTCTCAGGCAAATAACAAGGGCAGTAGAACACATCAAATCCCCAAACTGTTATAGGTATAAGGCAAAACGCCATCAAATCGAAAAGTCTTGGTAAACAGATCCGGCGGATCAATACTGACAGCTACTAATCGCGCGTGGTGACGAAACACATGGATCTAATACCGGACGAAAACAAGCGCACAATACCAAAGACGGAAACGAATCCGGATTCGGATTATCGGGAACTCAGTTTGAGGCGACTAAGAACTATTACGCTTTGGCTGGATGCACGACAACATGCACAGTAGAGTTGCTGGAAATTTTCATCAGTTGGTTAGTGTGTACGAACCGAACGGGAACACAACGGACCGAATGGAGGAGCATTACATCCGGGACTACAAAGTGTCCCCATCATCATCATGACACGTTAGCTGAAGGTGAGAAACGCCCTAGTTATTGTGCAGCAATAAAAAAGACAAGATGCATGTAAAGAGTGAGATAAGAAACATCGTAAAATAAAATGCTTAGGATCGTATTATGCTTGGGGGGTGAGATCGTTTCCGGAGGGGGAGGCTAAGCAGGATGGGATGGACAAATGAACTCACAACACAAATGCCATTGCGGTCGGCATCTCGCCGTACCAACGAGTATGCCTACACTCGTTGTCCTTGGTACCCCACTCAAGGCAACCGCGAGGAAGCAACCGACACCAAATGCGAAGTGAGGGACTCCAAACCACTTGAATAAATCATCGTTTGGCCTCCTCACTTCTTTTTCCATCCATACCGAAGCTGTGCAAACAAAGCACGTTGCAGGAGTCGTGTTGGCATGCATAACACGTAGCACAGTCGTCAGAGCCTGGTGCGTGATATAATGGTGCTGAGCGGTTAACTCGTTCTTCCTGCACCAGATACACTTCGCCGAACACGTTCATTGCTCACGCGGTATTCCCACCAGGCATGATGCAAAGGCAGCGATTATCGAACATACGAACCACTTTTAGATCTATCGATCTGATAGGCCAGGTTTCTCAACCGTACAGATGGCTGCAATGTTAAGTCTGCTGTTCAGGGCGAGAATGGCATCGCGCCGGCGACACAGGTGGCAGAGATTGGCAAAAGTGACTCGAGCTTCTGTCGCGCCATTTGACAAAATGCCACTTGCACATAATCCAACCAGCATGGGTGAAATAACTTGCGATTTCTAAGAACCCGTATGTGTTAACGACATATCAATAAGATCGGAAAAAGCGTAAAATCTCGCAACATCGAGTGACCGAGCACCAGCTCGGATAACCGCAAAACAATCGGGTTCGCGATCAAACGGCCACGGCGGTGTTGGCTGACAGTTTGTGCAATCCGTTGGCACCAATCATGAGTACAGAGGTGGTGCTGACACCAGTTATGCAAATATGAAGGATAAACAATAGCACAGCACCGCGAATAATATGTATTTGATGATAGCAACGTGAAAGAAGAATTCCGTCAAACATTTGTCAACCGAGATAAGGGTAGTAGAAGAAAAGACGATTAACAAGAAATGAAATGATAGAAAAAGGAGCACAATACCCGAGAAGTCTGAAAAATTAAACAAACCCCACTTTAGTGTTTCAACAAAATTGTACATACAAACGCAAAGGTGGAACAAGTTTCCTGATAGATCGTACGAACTGAAGTGACATTATTTGTACCATAGTGCAATGGTGACACTACAGGATAGCATGCCTCTCACATGCTGGATACGTAAAAACAGTGGGTCATTAGGTAGGCAAACAAATCTTCTGCAGGCTCAAGTAAATAGCAGTTGATGAGTTGAGTACGCATAACTACGACGGCCGAAGTCCGCGGAGACCAGGGCTGAGTTTAGTGAGATCAAAAGCGGAACCCAATGTGATACAGCGATCTGTAAACCTCTCTGATTCACGGAGATATAAGAATGGATATCGTTGCGAAATATGACAGATCATTTTAAGCTATCCCCAAGTCGCCGAGGTCGGACACTAGAACTATACCATTTCCCGGCCAAGTTGTCCTACTGGGCAACAGAAATAATCTGAGGGGGCATTCAACATGAGTCTACTTAATTAATTTGTTCCGTGCGTACGCCAGTCACTTGTGCAGGTGTATAGGTGTGCGTGTACAGCCCGTCGCCTTCAGCCAACTGAACCTCAGACGCACTAAGTCATAGGGGTGCAGGTGGGACGCTTCAGCTCCTACGCACGGAACAAATTAATTGAGTAGACTCATGTTGAATGCCCCCTCAGACTATTTCTGTTGCCGGGAAATGGTGTAGAGGGAAAATAAATTGTGACTAGTATTGCAAGAAAGACGTGACTGACGAAAGTTCGGGGACATGATCTTGGTCGTCATGCGTAATATGCCTTGGCGATGTCACATCCTATATAGGACAATAACTACTAAGTCAAAGTAAAACTGGATCTGGCAATGGTCGTCATAGTTATGAAAATGTGTCGCAAGCCAAGGCGCATGTTTCTATATGGGAAAAGTTTCGTGAAAAGCCAACCTGACAATAGCATCAAATTAGAGATTGAAATATTAAAGCCAATCAATAAGTGCATTTGGTGGACTCAGTTTACTTTGGCCAACAAAAGACCAAACAGTCAACCCAGTGTCGCATTGTCCGCATACGTGCTAGAAGAGTGTGTTATTAAAGTCATCTATTTGCGTCACTAATTACCGTAAAAACCATGAGTCGGCTTGACGAAAGCATTTTCAAACAAATGAGTACCGGTCCGACGAAATAGTCGTTTATTTCCCACGACAAATTTCCAAATTTGCACAAAGCAGCAAGAATTAGAATATTGGTAACCGATATCTTCATCCGTTAGGTGTGAACAGAACAGAAGAGAAAAGCAAACAATGAAGCCATAAAGGACGACGAAAGGGAATACTAAAAAGTAAAATGAATAGAGTCTGGATTATCGAAATGGAAAAGCAAGAGCAAATACCGGCAGCGAGTCCAAGATGGTGAGGACAGCGGTCTCAATGACGCCACGTCAAACATAGTAGCTGCGGTTTCTCCGCATACTATCAAACAACCACACTGGGGGCGTTATCCGAACTGGAGTACATGCGAAAAATGACAAGCTGAGAAAGATGTTCAACGAACATGCAAAGCACGTAACACTGCCAGCATCAAACGTGCAAGTACACCGAATGGATCTTGTCAGCCCACAATATGCCGTCCGGAGTTGTACACTGCTTCATGAATGTAGTAATTAAAGGCAATTTCTAGCTTAATAACTCCCGACGAGTACTTCCGACGTTTAGCATCCATTTGTTGTATGCGCTGTCTTGGATCGAAACTCTCATTCCAACCGCTTTTATCATAGTGGGAGAACCCGAGGTGTAACACCACGCGCCGACTAAACACGGGAATGCGCTCTAAGGGTTAGGTAAGAAGTGCTGGGGTAAAAAGGGATGCATTCAACTGAGCTTGGGTGCCTTGGGCAAGTAGTACTTACTTACTTCACTGCGGCTAGCTCTTGCGACAGGATGAGCCGGCTTCATGAATGTCGCGAATTGCAGCTGCTCAAGTGCGGCAGTCGGCAGCAAGCTCCAAGCAGATACAGATCCAATGATTCCTCTGGTGACGGGCACCATGCACAACATGGAGTCCCAGAAGATCGACAACCGACTTCACTACAGTGAGGCACGATTTCAATTGTCCGCCACAATGACGACATCAACCCCAGCAAGGCGAGGGTGAAACCATGACCCTAGTGAAGTCAATGTCTGGTCTGCGGAGGACGTGACCGAACCACTGAAGTCTGCGGCGTTAGATGAGCGTTGTGAGCTTCGGAAGACCGTAACAGCGCTTACGTGTTTTCGTCGTTGGTGATACGCTCATGTCACTGCGTTTTCAAGATAAGACTTAGGCACCAATGGTCGAAAACTTCCACCTTCCGGGTGTCTAAGGATCGCAGCGGCTGTGTTTCGCAACCATAAAGTAAAATGGCACGAATGGTTGCTGAGAATACGCAGAGCTTTGTTCCCAGACTAATTTCCGTCCTTCGCCGCAATGTGTTTCTCAGTTGTAAGAAGGCTATTCTAGCGCTGTTAATATGATTCCGGATTTCGGATGTAGCGTGATCATATGACCGGTCACCGCCTTGTTTTGTTTGCCAGATGTAGGATGGCAAAAGGCCAGAAATGGGCGAAAGTTAACTTGGTCAAAAAACGGTGCTGTTTGCTCATCTCGCCTTCCAGGCTAGAGTAAATGTGACTCGCCTTGTTCTTGACCCGAGACGTTACAGGAAATGCACCGCTGTCGGCACCAGTTGCGCGTACGCTGTCGTCTCCTAGTCGGATTGCCTCTTTGAAGTGTGTTTCGTGCTGAGTTATCTGGTGGGTAATGGCTAATTATGACGTGGGATAGTGAAAGCCGCAAGGAAGCTGCTTTGCTGTCGAAGCCTTATCTTTGCACGATAGTCAGCAGTTTGTGACAGTATGTTGTTAACACAAGGTGTAGGTGTCTTGACCCTGAATGTTTGGCTAGGACAATAAGTTGGTCACTTTAGTTGTACGGTAGCGAAGTATCAGGTCAAAAGGCTGATGTACTCCTATTGATGAAAATGGACCATAACGCGGCGCGATGGTTTGCGTGCATCAGCGATCCGTTGAGCTATGCTGAGAGGTGTTTTTGCACTTTCAGAGACATTCATACCAAATTAGCCAATGGTTAGAGGCCAGACAAACTCAGTTTCCTGGCCCTCGAGGTTGGGGGTTGGAGTGAGAGTGGCTCACTTATTCCATAAAACGGGCTCTCTGCAGTCCAGTGCCAAAACAGGCTGTCTTGTGGTCAGATTTCCGAATCAAAGGCTTTGGTTGAGAACCCTTATTGTTCTCCTCTCTAGGCCTAACAATCTGAACGTATTCTGCCCACGCAATTTCCTGATGCTCTGGCTACCGCAACATCGAGCAGGGTGGATAGGGGTGTGGATATTAATGCCCAAGCCTACTTATTTCCCCTTTTGGGCTCTTTCATCGTTATCGTCTCGTTCCAACTTCCCCTTTATCCCCAATGTTTGTAATCCCCAATTCGGATCTGCCCACATCTTTGCTCAGTAATCGTTTGTTTTCTTAAGTTCGACTCACAAACCGTAGCAGGGCACCGCTCCGGTCCACTCAGTAAGTTCATGTCCATCCAAACGGATAACATCAGTTCATCTGCTTCTATTTAGAACCGTCGATAAGATTGGCATGCCTCAAGGTGCGCACTGTGTTGCAAACAGGCCAGCTGGCAGCACTTGCCCGGGCACTGGATACCCTATCAACCGATGTCTGCTGTTTGGCAGAAACTCGCCAGCAAGATTCAAATTCTGTGATTACTCTTCGATCCCCAACGTGCGACACTAGCGGTATTTTCTCAATGCGTTTTTCCGGAGATGAAGCGGCCTCGTATGCTGACCAAGCCGGCGTGGGCACTGCTCTTAGCCCCCGGGCAGAATTTGCCTTGATCGATTGGAACCCAATGAACAGCCGGATGTGCATCGTTAGATTGGCTGGCTCTTTTAATGCATGGAAGCTGTGTGGAGAAAAACGGCGCCTGTTTTTCATTGCAGCCTATGTGCCTAAAAACTGGGGCGCTGAATCGGTGAAACACGACTTCTATCACCAATTAAACGCACTCCTCCGTCACAGAAAAAGTGCGGATACTGTAGTATTTGTTGGTGATTTGAACGCCCAAGTCGGAAAACTGTCCACTGATGAGTTTCTTCTCGGCGGCCAACATGGTGTAGGCTCCCGTAATGATAACCATGACCGGTTGCTACACTTGTGTAAAGATGCCCGTCTGTTTCTCGCGAGCACTAACTCAACATAGCACCCGCAGGAGAGTGACTTGGCGCCCACTAGCCTAGGACCAGCCATGGACGCAAATCGAGCACATCGTGATCAGTTACCGCTGGAGAGGCTCCAACCAAAAATGTCGTTCAGTTTGGAGCACGAGCGTGGACACTGCTCATGCACTTGTATGTGCTGACCTCCGGGTGCGTTTCGGTGGACGTCCGCAACGGCGTTGTGAACGCATGGATATTTGTCAGCCAGCGAAGCCAGATGTTCTGAATGCGTATCAAAGTACGCTGGCCTGTGAGCTGGGTAAACGCCATTGAACACAGTTGAAGATCACTGGTAGCATTTCCGCCGGACGACATTATCAGCAGGCATATCTTCATGTATCAAATCAATTTGCCAACCTAAACACTGGGTCCCCACCCAGTCTGTAGAACTTCTGGATGTTCGCAGACGTGTTCCAGCTGAAAGCGAATACAATGAGACTCGCAAAGCTCTCAAGGCGAAACAAAGTGCTAGACTGAAGAGAAACCGCGAAGCCCGGTGGCCTCATGGTGCCTCAGATATGGAAACAGCCGTTGCCTTTGGTTACAATCGGACGTCATTCCGTTTGATACGACAAACGCGTAGCAGGAAACCTGATGTTAGGGAGATCATTTGCGATAACAGAGGACAGCCGATTCACATCTTGTCAAAGCGCTTGGAGCGTTGGGCCGAACACTTCCAGAAGCAATCAGAGTTGCCAGTTTCTCCATCGACCAATCAGCGCCCTACTCCCTGGGCCATCCCCTTGGATGCGCTCACTCGCGCAGAAATCGAAAGTGAAAGCAGACAACTGAAAGTGAATATGGCTGTCGGAGCAGATGGGCCACATCCATACTCGTACAATTTTTGGGGGACGCTCTTTTGGACGATTTACGGTTGGGAGCGAGAGACTGACCCGACAGACTGCAGCCGCTCCGTAACAGTTACATTCTTCAAGGAAGCCTACCGTTCCGAATGCGTCAATCATAGTGGTATCAGTCTGGTATCCACTGCCTCTGTTACTTGCGTCCGTCGTCCTCCATAGACTGAGTGGCATTCGTGAAAGCCAGATGCGTGAGGAGCAGGCTGGGTATCGTCGAAATCGAGGTTGTATTGACCCCTTCTTCACATTACGTCAGTTGTTGGAGAATCGCCATGTTTTTCCACGACCCAGCGTAGTCGAATTCCTAGACATCAAAGGGGCCTTTGATTCGGGTGATCAAACTGCCCTTTGGGACTGTCTACCCAGAAAAGGTGTGCCCGAGAAATATGTAAATATTTTCCGTGTGCTATACGGGCGTAGCTCGGGCAGGATGAGAGTTTTGGCAAGCTGTCGCTGTCCTTTGATATTTCCAGCAGTGTGAGATGGAATCGCCAAGACTGATTTTAATTGTAGCACTAAGTAGGAAAGAAGGAACAGGACACCGCAGACGCATTCTGTTTTCGAGTGAAATCAAGAGAATATCTTACTCGATGAAAGGCTGTCAGAAACAAAGGAGCAGCCGTGTCAAAGTCAGTCATTTAGGAAAGAAATGCGACCAGTATAGGTGAGATGTGGGCACGATATCGCTTCTGTAATAATTCAAGTGGTACATGTACCTCGTACCGCAGAAGAAACCACTAAAGCTTTCGCTGATTTAGTTAGGCGGCCCACAAAAAGTCGAGGAAGAAAATCAGGCTAAGTCATCATTTGGACAAATCTCAGCGTGATAATGGCCACTTATGTTATGCTAGCTACTTTTAAGTAGGCATTCCCAGTTAACGGCTAATCACAGCTAAAACGAAATCACAAAGCGAACAATCTCAAGTGACAGGTGTACCCAAAGAAGTATCCCGTTTTAACAGCATTAATAATATGGCGAAAATATTAGAACATTACGTTTGGGTTTGTAGGTTAGGCGTGCAAATATTAAATGGAACACGATAATTTAGATGATTCAGGTACTTAGGATCTGGGATGCGATCGAGGCATACTTGATTGAAAGTGCAACGGATGAAATTGTGATAACAATCAGGAAGATGATGAATCACAGCTTGGCCAGGAAGAGATACGTGGACGGAAATGAGTATGCTGAAAAACTGATGCGCTCGTCACCCATAAACCGGATTAATCATTTACAAGTGAAGCCTAGAGCAAAGAACTTGCAAAGCAGTTAAAAAGACCGCTCGATTGAATGGGTCTATGAAGGAGCAGCGTTACTTGGATCGAGATCAAAGTTGCGTCAAATAAATGCCTTAGATGAGAGTATAAGCATAATCGTGAAAGCTATTGACGCCAGGCATGATTTCCTGATATGATAGTCTGCAAGGAAACTGCAGGCAATTCGGAAACCAACAAATGGTGCATGAGGGCAACACCAGTAAAGAGAACGCCATGTTCCCAGTGCACCAACCGACGGCCGGCCTTTAGTCTGCCTTGTAATCCGAGAGCGTAGGGGATGGGGCGATCCTCGTAGTATTAGTAGCCCATGTGCGACTGGTGGTAGTTGCGTGACACTGTGTACGAGCGTAATTCTGATGCCTTATTGGTGACTGTTACCTGCACAGATTACGTAAAATCACAGTAAGCTGTAGACAATCTCTGAATAAAATGTCCAAAGAGGATGTGGTTGAAAGTTTAGGTTCTTTTGAGGTGTCATGAGAATGAGTAAATAAATAGTAACAAAAATAAATAAATGGTTTATTCGCGGTTAATAATTGCTAGTAACAGGACTAAGACAAGGTAAATGAAACAACTCCACTCGGATCCCAGGATCATAAGGAGTTGATTTGAGGCATTGGTTGGTAGTAGCACACAGCCGGATAGGCGGCAAACAATGACTTAATGAGTAAAGTGAAGATTTCAAGTTGTCCATCAAATAAACTCAATGAAAGGTCTGGAGAAAACAACTTACCTGGCACATATTCCATAACGATCATGATCGGATAAGAACGCACTGCTATTCCAATCAGCTTCACAATGTGCGGATGACAAAAGTTCAGGGCAGTACGTTCACCCTGTAAAAATTTCTGCCGCAAATGTGCTGCATTCATATCTACCCTGCAGGTCTTCACAGCCACCTCGGACCCGTTGTAGTAGCCACGATAGACGTCACCGAAATTGCCCTGCAAGCAACGGTGGAGTGGAACGCGAGAAATGACGTTTCGATACTTTCATGATAGGGAACACATGGTTTAGCCTAGGAGACGTAAGAACATTAGCATGTATATTTTGAGTACCAAGGATATACCTACTATGCCAGTGGTGTTGAAGCCAAGGTTTAAACGTATTCTATGAACATAAGATGAGGACCAGACGAGAGGTTGGGCCTAATTAGAGTGTTCAGTGCATTGGCGCGATTCGAACAGTCGGACACTCTAGATCGAACAAGTGTGCCGAAAATATGCTTTTCATCGGGTCGTGGTTAAGTCACAGAAAACATCAAAACCATTTTAACAGCACCTTTTTCTATGACAGTGTTCGTTGTAATTGGTGATATCTAACTTGATTTAAAAAACTCCAGCATTAAAACAAGTTCACCAGAAATAGACGGAGAAGACAAGGACGTTATAGCAAGAACGGTAGTGGTAAGTCTCTGGTTTTGAATTGTGCGCCACGATTGCAAAATTCCATCAAAGCACGTCTGCAGAATACTGCGAGGTGGCCAAGATACAAAGTGAATGAGTGAGATTTGGGAATCATTAGGGTAATGTCCGTTCAATGGCGGAGTGCTAGAAAAATGCTACCTAGTGCGCGCTACAGCGATTGGGAAGCATTCGACGCAACGTGATTGGAGAATCGACGCCTGTCAATTAGACAAAGTCATTGAGGGTGAATACAGCATGAACTAACAAGAACTTATTGGTATTCAATGTGCACCGCAAATCAAACAAGAGGGGAACAACAACTCATGAGACATATAGTGGGTAATGAAATTGGACTACGTAATTGAGGTTTAATTGCTTCACATTCAGAAGCCGGGAGCCCACTCAGATCTGCTAGAAGTCGTTCAGAAATTCAACTACCTGGGAAGTAGTATCAGTGGCCTTGGGATCGAAGACGAGATCACGAACCGTACAGCAAAAACACTTCGTGCTTTTGCTAACCTTCGCCACTTATGGCGGCGGCGCGACATCACTCTCTACCTGAAGGGTAGAGTGTACAATGCAGCGGTACGATCGACCTTACTGTACGGTTGTGAAAACTGGCCCCTTAGATAAACGGGCATAAAGAGGCTAGTTACGTTCGACCATCGGTGCCTTCGTAGTTTGGCTCACATCAGGTGGGAACGCCGAGTTAGCAACGAGCGTGTTCGACGCCTTGTCTAAGGCACCGAAAAAGGAACTGAACCGCTCAGCACCGTCATTTCACGCACCATCCTCCGATGGCTGGGCCAAGTGTTGCGCGTGCCAGCACACCGATTTCCGCGACGTGCGTTGTTTGCTTACCGGAGATGTGGATGGAAGAAGAGGAGGGGTGGCCAAGTGATGAGTTGGTCCAGAGGAATGAAAGCCCTCACTTCGGAGCTGGCCTCGGTTGGAACGTCTCGGCTCCCTGGTTGGGGTAAAAAAAGACCATGAACACGTTTGGCTAGATACACTTGCTGACATGGCAAGGAGCCGACCTCAGTGGCGTTCGTGCTGTGAGTTTCTTTGTCCCTCCCCATCCTTTTTAGCCTCCCCCTTCAACCACGATCTCATTTCGTAGCGTAATGTAATTTTACATAATAATTTTTCTTTTTGCCTAGTAGCCGACCGGTAGCTTACCGGAACGATGCCTATCCGTTGTTGGTAGCTCAGCCGGTATGCAGCTGTTTTATTTATTTTCCTTTTCTTTCATGTATTGCGGCACAGTAGCTGAGGTGTTTCCCACCTCCAGCTGACGTGTATAGTGATGATGAGTCCACTCAGAAGTCGAGCTTAGGTTCGGCATCGAGTATGGGGTGCAGCAGAACTGCCTCGTAATTCCTTTCGATTTTAGTAATGAGACGGAAATGACAGTGGACCACCCAACTATATTATCTGCATTGCAAAATAGGCTGAAGGAGTAGATGAGGAAGACCCGACTCTGCTGGACAGCGGAACGACTTCCATGCAAGTGAGGCAGAAGTGAATGAAGGAAACTAACGCAAGCTGCGGTGGTTGCATCAAACTTCACTCGAGGTTAATGCGAGCTGGACGACTGATGCGTGGTAAGACGAGTACGCCTCAAAATCCACTTAGTATTGTTTGAAGTGTTGCACAGCTGCACATACGAGGTGTATACAGAAAGAAATCCAATCTTAACTGTAACATGGTTATTGGTACATTTCAAGCGCCGTCCCCCATCAAAGTAGTCCCCCCTACTGGCAAAACGCCATCCCTAATGGTGTCTTCATTTTTGGAAAGTCTCCTGGAACACACTTTGTGGAATGGCGCAGGTCTCTTGCCGCATTGTCTTGAACCTCCTCTATGGTCTGCAAGCGACATGCTTACAGTGCGGTTTCAAGTTTCGGAAACAGGAAGTTTGCTCGGGCTAGGTCCGGAGAATACAGTGAATGATGCACAACGGGAGTTTAGTTCAGGCCTCTTTCTGCGCACAGCATCCCTCAAGCGCGCTAGAATTCCTTGGTAGATTTTTGTAGTTACAATCAGACCGCGTGTCACCAGTTTTTGATGCACAATGGCATCGCAGCCAATAAAAAACCAATATCACCTCGATTCTTGGCCAACTCATGGGTGTACTTTTGGAGGAGGAGGAGGAGGTGACACTTTCCTATTCACTGTGACAATTGCATCTTCGTCTCAATATCAAAGCCATAATTCCACGCCTCATCGCCTGATGTGTTCTTCAAAAAAGTCTTCATTGCAACTGACAACGACAAGCAGTTCTTGGCTGATATTAAAACGTTTCTGTTTCCGAATTTCGCGCTGACACGACGCATCTTCCGTTTGTCACTCAAAAGTTGATGGCATGATCCTACGCTGATTTTCTATTTCTACAAGGACTAGTTGAACAGTCAAACGTGGATTTCTACGGAGCAAAGCACGACTTTTTGACAGTCATCGTCGGATGGTGCGAAAGGTCGTCGAAAGATCACCACCGACCGACATTCTGCCGTGTTCAAAGCGTTCAAATCACTCACAGCAGTAATTGCGACGAATAGACTCCTCCCAGTATGCTTGGATAAACAATCACGTGTCTGTAAACGCTTTGCCAAGTGCGTAACAAAGTTACACACTTTGACAGTGATCCGACGAGCAGCTTGTGAACGTGCTCACTACAGTGACTGAAATTCAGAGCAAAACGCGGCAAATGGCACTTGGTCGTCTAGACAAGCCTTTGCGTGCGTTCAATAACCGTAGCGGGCTCCTTCTGATTGTTGGCGCGCTATCCCAAAAGTTCGATTTCTTTTTCAACAGAACGATAGATGGATGGTTGCATTAATTGAAATTAGGTTGTAGAAGAGGCGAGTGTGATTATACAAATGGGAGGCAGGGACTCGCAAAGTTTTCGCCATTGATACAGATAACGACAGATCGGCACATGGATAGGTGTCGAGTGACCAATATCACCACGTGTGGATCACAGCCATGGTCAATGCGAACTGGAAACTAATCCACCTTGGACAATGGTGTCTACAATCAAGTGTAGCCACCATCTGAGAAGTGTGAATATACACTGCTGATTAAGTGAGCCAAATGTGAAACGAATATAGAAAGGTGGTAGAGTCAGCTGACACGAAAGAGTGAACACAAAAAGATTGATGATAACTAACGACAAGTAGGAAGTAAACGCAGAATGGACGAGGCAAGTCAAAGGGTAGAAGCCGCAGATTCCACCCAAAGGTCAACCCAAAGAATTAAACAAAGTGTTTCGATGGTCCATGGAAGGGCCTGAAGACAGTGTTGGAAGGTTACGATGGTCTGACGAAAAAAAGTAAGCCAGGAGGTAAACCTCCTAAGAATCCGCACATGAGGCAGGGTTGTAGGAGGTAAGTCAGAGGGTGCGCAGTTCGGACTGAAAGATGAATGTCTTTGAGTAAATAGCAAACATAAGTGGATGAAGCTCAAAAAATTCGACGGAACCCACCGGCCATATCTAAGATAATGTGTCAGCTGTACAGCGTAAGGGCGCTTCACCGTCACGCGACCACCACCAGTCGCGCGCGGGCTGAGTATACCGCGAGAACGCTCACTCCTAAGCGGATTCGAACCGGGAATCTTATGGTTACAAACCAGGTGCGCAGACCACCCAGCCACCGGCTGACACCAGCAGTGCACAACCAGATGATTTGACTCGTCTGCATGACACAGTTCACAAATAGTAACACAACATGGCCAAACAGGGGAGTGAGCAGAGGGGATACTTTGACTTGCTTGTCCAATTTTTTGTACCAGACGGACGTCATTGTTGTCCAGCTGCCAATCGGGACGAGCGATTGGGGTGATGAGACGCGCACCCGATTTGACCGTGGCGGGCAGTTGGGTGGCCATGTGGTATTCCAACAGCTCACTGAACGCACGGGGTTGGATGGGGAAAGTGGGCGGAGTGTTAAAAAAACGATGAAAAGACCGGTGAGGTAGTAGTGGCGAACTTGGTAGCAAAAGGGTTGTAATTGCAATCATGGCATTGCAATAAGGCAATCACAGGCAAATGTTTATTAAATTTGGGATATGCGAAAAGCAATAATTTCAAAATGCTTTACCATAAACCAATCGGACAACAAGAGAAGATGAAGAGGAGATGAAAGCCTGTGCCCATTAAGGAACCACACCAAACACCTCTATATATGGGATAACTAAGCCCCATACGTGAACAAGCAATGTGTAATGTGACTGTCTAAGCTCCAGTGGTCAAAGGACATCTACTCTGTTTGGAAGGAAGCAGTCACTAATCGCACTAAGGCTTGGTGCGAAGCGAGTAAAGTATGCCTCTCATTTGCATATTAAGGGTTTCAGCCGATGAAATTGCACCCAGCTCAAGCGGATGTACGGCGCAGTTGATTCCCCGTGGGTATGGCAGGTATTTACCAAGCGGTCGGTCAAACAGAACAGAGCCTCTATGGAACCTGGTATAACAGTCATGAATCAATGATTTTTATCCGTGAATGAACCGGGGTTGCAGTGTTCGCGAATGCCTGCCAACTCTTCACATGCCCCATCTTTTCTGGCTCGACAACTGCACTCGATGCACACTTAGTAAGCGTAAGACAGGCTGGACAGAAGGAGCGAAGGGCACACATCGGTGTCGGGCGATGACTCACGGTGTCTTCGAGTGTGCGCGAGGTCATCTGGCTGGACAAAGTACCTATCAGTGTCAGTGAAGGCGCCGAGAGGTGAGAAAGACGACGCACGTTCGCCATTTGTAAATCCTCCAGTTTGTCACACACACACACACACACACTGCACCTTGATGATACTTCTGTTCTCGGAGGGATGATTGGTCCGATTCAGTCAAGGTGATGATGTTCGTAATCCCACATTCCGCCGGAAACCAATGGTGCCGTATGGCGAAAAAGTGTGAGAGGACATCATCACCTCGCAGGCTAACCACTGTCAATGACAGTGTAAGATAGGCCGTGCTATATCCCAGTTAGTTTGCCAATTATGTAACCCAGCCAATGTCCCCCATGGCTCAGTGGCTTAAGCTGCTGCCTAGTTGGCATCTGCCTCTAGCGGTCATGGGTTTGATCCTCCTCAGAGGACCGAGGGAATGCGCGCCACTGACGAGCACCAATAGGGCGAAACGCGTCTGGCGCTTTTCCGGACTACGCTCTGCTATGTAGCTTGTGAGCTATTGGGATGAAAGCCTTATCAAAAGTGTGAGTGTTCAAAGAAGAGACGTAATCTGTAGATTAGAAATCCGTGAGAAAATTTGTAGCTCGGGATGTGGATGCGGGTATGCGGGTGTTCTCCGAGCTGGTTGATTTGGCTGCAGACGTTTCGTCGTCAGACTAGACGACATCATCAGTGCGATTTATGCGGGCCACTTCAGATCCAAGAGATTATTGATCACTTGATTCGAACGTCAGGAGTCGATTGGTCCACGTGAACTGACCGTGTAGTCAGCTCTCTCGTACTGGCGGCCCGCATAAATCGCACTGATGATGTCGTCTAGTCTGACGACGAAATGTCTGCAGCCAAATCAACCAGCTCGGAGAACACCCGCATACCCGTAATCTGTAGATGTTAGATGCGCGAGGTCTCAAACACCTAATTAGTACCATAAACCGAAAACAACATCACACGTCCAAAACAGATGCAATCACAAAACTAAGTGACAAAGGGTTGGGAAAACCAGAATAAGATTTGGCTTTGGCTAGTAAAATAGTAGCATCACGTTGTGTTTCAAAATTACAAAGTCTGCAGCACATTTGTTAGGAAATATCTGCAGCTCATCTCGCAGATATAGCAGAACAGTAAACACTGCACTGATTGGGCACACAGCATAGCTAAGATATGCATTTGATCAGCCAAGTTGCGTAAGATGGTAATGTGATACTCATAAAACGCTCCTGTCCCTATGTCCTGGAGCAGATGGAATCGCGCTCCAATGATCCACAGAATAAGTATATCCGCCATACAGCGCCCATCAAATTAGTGCTCCTTAGAGTTAACTGAGAGAATGACACAGTCGCGGCCGAAAGTGCATCACTAAATCGTGAGGCTTTCTTTCACGTGTCCGGATGTTATTACCAATCGCCCCGAGGTCTCCAGCAAACCGAGGCGGAGTCTTGCTGTTTCATTGGCGATTCTTGCCGACGAATTCCGCTCGTTTTGTGTCTTTGTGGGAAGCTCCCTTCATGATCTAAGTGGGTAGCGTGAAATCTAATAAACCATGATAAACGCCTCTTAGCTGAAATTTAACCCAGCGCCGACAGAAATAAATGAAGCTTCACTGCAACGGGTAACGGCGCTTCGCTGCCACACAACCACCACCAGTCGCGCGTAGGCTGAGAATACCGCGATGACTCCTGTCCCCAAGCAGATTCGAACCGGTGACCTCATGGCTGCAAGTCAGGCGTGCAGACCACTCGACCACCGGCCGGCAATGCTTAGTAGAAAACATGGGAAAGGTGAGTTCGCAAAACGTACCGAATTGTCGGGAAATCACCCTCCTCTAAGAACCAGCCAGGATGCGTGGAATCACCACCGTTCAAGATAAAGTGCTTGTGACCGTTCCAGAAAACTGACAACACCATTCGCAATGCGGATCCATCCGACGAGACACTGCGATCGATGACGCCCTCGAGATGCTCGTCGGTATCGGTATTTTCATTAGCGGTCACATCACGACAACCAGCACGCTTGTTGGTTTGACGAACGAGGAAGTCTCCCTGATTTTGCAGCAACCTGAAATTGGAAACATGGGGGTGCTAAACATTTAGAGCACACAAATCAACGAGAGATACTTTAAAATGTGGGTAGAAGCGAACGGAAGAGTTAGATGCATCTAACTGCAGATGTGGAGTGTGTACCAGCGAAAGCACTCATTATGTGGCGCACTACTAGTGATTAGTAGGTGTGGAAACGAGACGCAAGGAAATCAAGGAAATTGTGGATCGTCGTAGGTAAGATGGTTAGTGGAGAAACCTGCCTCTGTAGCATACCGGTGAGTTGGAAAGCTAAAACGGGGGAAGTGCACAAATTGGGCATCAGTTTCCACGTTCAAAATATTATAATATCTAGACACTGGTTCGTCAATAAAAGCTCGTTTAAAGAAATAAATAAATAAATGGTGCAGTCCAACTATGTGGCCGGATCAATGTGTACAGCAGGATCGCAAAAAATAAGCAATTTGTTCACGCTTTATACAATGGATCCAAAGCGGGTATTAAAGTAATTGGTAGGTTTAAGGTATTAAAGAAATTAAAAAGCCAGGAACAATAACAAATGCAAATTTAAACAAATGTCCAGGTAAATTAATACGACCACTCGTGGAATCATCCCCAAGGGACCTGCTTCCATGCAAGGTATTCCCTCGAAAGGTTTCGCCCGCAGCTCCATGCTATACCTGGCCGCGTGCCGGTGTGGCATAGTAGCATATGAGCCATCATCTGTTTATCATATGTTGTGTTTTTTTTAGAGCTGGTTTTATACGTGCATAACGGGCGATGAAGTCTCAGTCCAGTCCGTCATGAGGATCATTAAATTATGGGACTTTTTTATACGCAAGTCAGTTTGTGGTAATGTGCCTTGCATAGGTAAATTCTTTTATACTCTGGAAGCTATAATCCGTTACCACAGGAGATCAGCCCAGTCGTGACCAACAATGAAATAAGGAAGAAAGTAGAAGAAAAATTGTGTGAAAGCGGTACTATATCGTTAATGTAAATAAATAAGCACGTATGTTTCTTGCATCAGCGTAAAAATGGATCGAGCCGATCATACGATCAAATTGTGCGGCGTGACAGCCGGAGACAGATAACTGGACGAGTTGTCCATAGGCAAAAAGTCAAACAGGGACTCCGTATTTGCCATCACTGAATTCCAGTATATGTTTCTGCACTGTTAACTCCAGTCGCGTTCACAACATTTGGTGTCGTGACCAGCCACGAGTGGAACATGAAGATTCCGTAGTAGGAGCCATTTGAGGAAGGGGAAGCAAGGAAGTTCCTGGAAGAATTCAAACATGTCGCGGGTACAATCGGAGTGAAGCGGGAGCGGGCGAAGCTGGTTGCCTTGCGGAGTCTCCTCAAAGACAGAACGAAGGCGATTCTGGAGACGGCGCGAAGCGGACCCAGGGAAGTTGAAATGGGCCGTCGAGAAGGAATTGCCGATTGCCGGGTTCGGAAGTCCAGCCGACCGCCAGGATGTGATGCGGCGATTCAAAGCGGCCAGGCGTGGAGTGGGAGCAGACCCGTTCATTTTCGCTGTCCATGTCAGTGGCTTGCTGGACTGAGCTCTGTCTAATTTGGATGACGCGTCAAGACAGCAGCTGTTAGTGGAGCAGTTTCTGGATGGTCTACTTCCGATGATGGCCGATTGGCTCCGGATTGTGAACGCTACGCGGAGAACGGGTGTGGCGGTGCTCGCTCGAGTGGCAAGACAGCTTGCACATGAGGAAGTCGCCGCATGGAGAGCGGAAGGCCAGAAAGAGGAGGAGCGATTGGACAAGACAGAGGAGAGGCTGGAGTAGATTACCCAAGATATCGGAGCATTTCGAATTTCATGTCAGAGAACACGGCCGAAGGGACGATGCTTCAGTTGTGGGGAAACTAGGATACTGGAAGTGACAGTGTCCGTCAGAGTGTTGTGCACCCTTTGTACCAAATAAAAATTGCAAACTGTATTGTTCTCGTGTTGGAGGATGCATACTTGAGGCGCGATTGAAGCGATAGTGAATGGGAAAACAAAGAGGTGTTTCACTGGTACGGGAGTCGCGGTTTCACTAATCAATCATAGAGATGGAGTGAAAACTCAAACGTGTATCATGGTGGTGAAAGAAGTTGGTTGTTACGATATACGCATAGACCGCATGGCGAAACACGTGGTTGGTATCTGCAGTCGTGTCACCGGACGCAAAACAGGCTATCCAGGGCGCAGACTTTCTCCAAGTCAACGAGGTCATCGTCGACCTGAAACGATAAAAGCTGACTACAAAATACGGAGCTATACCACTTGCTGACAGAGAAGGAGCCACACTGGTATACTTGGTCGTGGCAATTGTAAACACAAGTTCTGCTCTGCAGTCGTTCGTAGGAAAGTACGACATCTTATTCATGGACGATAGTAGACCTTAAGGGATTTCTGGTTGGATCGAACACACAATTCCGCTATCGCATCATCCCTATACATCGTATGGACCCAGAAGAATACCACTACATTTGGAGACTGAGATCAGATGAAGGCAGATGAAGGAGATGTTGGATGTAGATGTAATCGAAGAGGCACATTGCCCCTATAACTCGTCAGTTGCCTTGGTGAAGAAGGTTAACAGGAAGTACCACTTTTGAGTGGAGTTCAGAAGTCTGAACGAAATCTCGTTGAGTCGTTTTGTCCACCGATCCACTATTTCCTTCATTTCCTTGCGCATTCTGGTTTCCACACATACTACTCACTGGCAGTGCGTCACAATATCAAAAGAAGTCGAACGGAAGTAACAGGACAGAATAAAGGAGGAGCAGGTAAACACAATATCTACTGATGGGTAGAAGGAATCTTGACGAAGTTTTACCGATTCGTCTCAGCAACTCACAGGCCAGTTGTTCCAAGCACCAATCCAAAAAAGCACTGGACCGTCGTTTCGCCCTTTTGGAGCTAGGCAGGGATGCGCATTCCCTCGGCCTCCTTAAAGGAACCGAACACAGGATCGCTATCAATTGTGGTTTTAGAACAACCTTTTATCGGACTATAGTCAAAACTATTCAGAAGTCTACCGACATTTCGATGAAGCGAGAATGTTGAGTGCAGGGAAAAGCGTGAATAGCAACCATTTGCTGTTAAAATGGTGACGCAGTCAAATCAAAAGAAAGATGCGGGCTTCCGTGCTGGAACTACGAAACAAGTTGCAGACGGAGGTTGCTTGGAGAATAGGAGGATTCAGACAATCGAGTTTGCCAACAACGCGGGGGTGTGAGGTACCAGCGTGACAAAGAGATAACATCGAGGGATGAAAAAGGACAAAAGCCATGGCGAGTTGCAGGAATTAAGCAGAAGCACGAGATTGTTGAAAGGAAGGAAAATAGATAAAAGAAAACGGGGTAGATGTAAAGGTAAAATGGCAGACAAGTCACGCAAAGTCAAGCAAGATACCATGAACGTCAGGCGAGAAGGCAGTAAGCAACATCCGAAGTTACAAGTAGTTTATGCAAAAATATTAACCGTGTCATCACACCACCAGCATTAACATTTGGCAAAATTCCAACAGCAACAAGTGGTCGGTCAACCAGCATGCAATATGCGTGATGCAACCGGCCTGAATTGCATAGCAACGCTACATAGTTCGGTGCAACAAATCAGCTAACCAACGGTTCTCAGCAGTCGCCATAAGGCGGCCTCGGCGGATTTGAACAATGTCTTATGGACAGACTCGGTATTCCAAGACAGGTGGTCGTTTGCTCACCACAAGTACGGAGCACGCCTCGGATCCACCTTTTGTTGCTTTCCATCGAAACCATGACCTCCAATCGTCTGTATAGGTGAGGAAGCCGGTGAGCAGTAAAGTGAGTCATTACAATAAGCAAATTTAAAATACACTCCGATAAGGGAGTACGGACGTGAATATAAGGTGCACACAATTACGCAACTGAGCCTGCTGTAGGTCCAGAGTGTGGCGGAAGATTTGTAATAAAGATGTCACTCGGTGGAACTGGTGGGCAGTACTGCGGTCGCCATAATGTCACGACTAGGTAGAAGAAAACCTCTGAATGCGTAAGGATAAAAAAATCAAAAGTTCGTGTTGCCGATTTCTGATGTCAAACAACTGCGAGAGGGTTATGTGGGTCGAAAGTTTGTTGAGCACTTTAGTCTAACTTTTGTGAGAACGTCGGTCGAAAGAGCTTCATTGCGAGCGCAAAATATTTGGGTTATTAGCAATCTTGTGTGAGGAGAAAATGGCAAAATAACAAAAGAAATCGCTCACCTCTCCACCTCTGCGCGTGGTAGGACTCCGTGAAACCAAGGCTCTTTGTTGAGGTTCACTTCGCCCTAGCAAGAGTGTGAGCAGAGGAAATATGGAAAACACATTTCAAAGGACAGTTAACATCAAACTAGGTATGCACTACTGCCAGACGGGGAACTGATAATGAATAATACAGATCTGACCGACACGAGTGTCCATGACTGTCTTCACATGAAATTACTATGAAGTGAACAGTGTTCCACCGCCGAGCATTGGTTTTCCAAATGGAAACCTGACAAGAATCCCTGCAAACACGCAGGAAAGATGCGAAATTGCTTCAAGGGAGCATCGCGTAATTTAAGATAGTTAATGGGTGACAGAGCCCCCTGTGCATGAGCGAAACAAATCAGTTATCGTTGCTCCACTGAAAGAAGGTTACAAATGTTGAGTGGGTGATAACCATAGGCATTAACAGTAGGACGGTACGCAGTAGCATCGCTTAGCTACCGCGCAACCACACCAGTCGCGCGTGGGCTAAGGATACTATGATGGTCGCCCGGTCCCTACGCAGCCTCGAACCCGAGCCCCCGAGTTATAAGGCATGATTGGGATCCTTAGGGCTACAGGCGCAGATGGGTAAGGCAAGTGGTGAATTGGGTGGATCCAGCCGTAATTAATAGCACCAGATGCACAAAGGATTTGTGATAATGTTGAGAGCAAAGGAAATAACACGTCACCAAAAATACGTGTAAGCTTGGGACCCCCATGTTCCACGCTGTCTCAAACCGCTAGATTAAGCAAACATATTGTTGGCTCCAGATAAAGCATGGCTAGCAGAGGTCGTCTCCTGTCGGACAACCAGTTTATAGTGTGCGTGGGGCTATTTTATCTAGGGGCGAAGTTGACGATGAGGCAGGGCAGAAAAAGCCATAAACAAGCTATCTCGCTGACGTTGACTAACCTTCGAGCAACCGCTCTAACTTGACGTCTTGATTCGGTATGCTTATATACTGCACTAACATTAGGGATACCGAAAACGACAGCCTACTGCTATGCCGCGATGATAAAGCAGGCCGTTGGGTAATGAGACCCCTGTAACCCAACTGTCAATCATGGTTAGCAATAACTGGCCTTCCACTTTTTACTTTTTTTCATCAGGATAGTCTCTTAATTAAAGGCTGTGTGACAGCGTAGTCTTATTTGTGTGCACCGGTGTTACATGAATGAATGAGTAAAATTAATAAAATAAAATAAAATGGTGGGATACGTTCCTTTGTGGAACGGTATTTCGTACGAGTTTCATTGGCATGTCAGTTGTGAACCCTGTGTTTAACATGGAACAGCAATGTGATGCTTGGTAGGTATACGTAGTAAGCAACAAATTATGGGAAAGCTAGTTTGACCATATGTTTGTCGGATCAAACTCCATGGGTATACTCGTAGACTGCTGAAAACCGAAAGGATTGATCATATTTGACATGGAAAGAATAGTTATTAGATGAGATATGTATGCAGACAGGCTCTCGTTGGTCCTTTACTGCAACGTAGCTTATTCCACATATAAGCTTAGCCCATCAAAAAGAATATGTTGCGTGGTCTTCTGTAAAAATAGCAGACACGAGTGGGATTGATTGAAGTATTTTGCAAAACGACAACCGTACATGTTGAGAGCTCATAAACTGTAGAGAACAGAGTTCGGACTGAGTCAAGCTGGAGGAGTGGCTGATGATAATTCCGTGGGGAGACAACAGCAGAAAATAGGTGGCATTCGAGACAAAAATACTCACTGGGTCGGACGCCCGTGAATCCCCACCTATGGGGATATGGGTGCATTCCTGTCCAGGCACTGACGATCCTGGAGGTGATGAAGTGTCGGAATTGGCTGTCATGAGAAAAGCAAGATAGTTAAAACAATATATACTTCCTTTATATATATATATATATATATATATATATATATATATATATATATATATCCTGGCAAATGAGATGGTCACCCGGAATGCTGTATTTGTTCCCAATGCTTGAATTTGAACAGGCGGGCTAGGAAACAAGGGAGCAGTGAGCTCCAACAGGACCGGTTAGGTTGTACGGAGTCCGAAGAGAGACCGCAGCGAAAAGAGAACAACAGCGACACTAGCTTGACAGTAGCTGGAGGGCCGAAGCCCTAAATTCGTGTTTCATACTAGCCTTAAATAGCAGCTTTGCGACATACAATCTAAATGCAATGCAATGTGGCACTGAGTAGATTGGTTGCTTCTAAAAATATAAAGAAGTTATATGGCAATCGCATGAACAAGAATGGTTTCAATGATGCACGCCCTAGAAGAATATGTCAAAAAGGTAATTGAATCAGTGTGTAATATATAGATGTACGTTAAAAAGGATAATCAGTAAATTCAAGAAACATCACTCGACGTATGATTCGGTGGCTCGTAAAAGTTTGTATAAGTCTGCTTGTAGAACATTGCAATCGACAAACATGTAATTGTAATCACGGGGAATGTTGACCTTCAGCAATCCAAAAATTCGCATTTAATAGAACGAATCGAGGTAGAATCGGAGTAAAGAATTCTTTACGGTAATTCACATCAGACTTAAACAGTACACCAACTTCTACAGTGCAGTACACTCCTAGAGTACAAACGAAATCTAGTCCGCACTCTTGCCTTCCGGGCACACAGAATTTGCACACCGGACACCGTAAGCAAAGAAGCGGTAAGGCGCTAAGAGCGAATGGGTATCCAGATAAATTCATTCTCAAACATTTGAAAGAACGCAAAATAAAACCAGCGAGGATGAACGTAACCAAGAAAGAACTAATTGTGCATTCTCCTTACAAAGGCGACAGTGCGGCTGATGTCTGTCCAAACGCCTGAAAAACGCTGTTGAAAAGACTTCTTTTGTGGCTTATCTACGCATAGTATATTACACTAAGCATTTATTCGTAAAACCTTTGAAAAACAGACTGCCTCTGGAGACTCAATCAACGCTCGTTTATCTGTACTCGTGCTCCTGTGATGCACGGTACGGGGGTCGTAATACGAGGCGCCTTTCTCATAGGATTCGCGAACATATCTCGAAGTGGTTTTACAAAGACAAAGCGAGATCTAGTAACAGCTCCATCCTGTCGCACCTTCTAGAGTACGGTCACGCAGGGACGGAAAAGGATTTCATAGTCATTTATACTATCCCTGAATGATTCTCGCTCGGATTCCGGAAGCATCTCCTATCTATTGCGTAAGGCATCTATATCCGCCACCTCAAGCCAGAATTGTGCGTACAAAAACAGTTTGCACATTCTTTGCTTCTACCGTGGCCTACAACTTCTGCTGTGATTCCCTGTACATAATTGTCACCTTCAATGACCCCGTGATTTGTCGATTTGTTCAAGTTGGAATTAAATATTTTGGTCAATTCGCAGCTAAATCCGGCATATTTAGCACTTTGTCGTCATCATATAATGTTTGAGTCTGATGAGAATTACCGAAATCATATGAATCAATGAAACGGGACGATGATAGCAGAAGTGTGCCATCAAGATAAAGTTTGCCACCAAAGCGTGGGCAAACAATGACCAGAATATCCAAGGAGATGACGAGATTTCAATGGAGTTGGCTGTAAATCGCAGCACAAAAGTAGCCCACTCTCAGCTACTTGTGTGCTCTTCAGCAGCCAAGGATGGAGACGAGCAAAATGATCATGCCTATGCACGCGTACCTCGCACTCAAATTTATTTGTTTGTTCGTGGTTCCCGATCAGCGTCGTCTTTGTCGAATACGTCCAGTTTAATGGCGCCTTGTGCTCTGCTATTTATAAGTACAGCAGTTTGGACTCTACGCCTAGCCAAAGGATGGAGACGTATCGAAGTAGGTCTGCCAAGGCAGTCATTTTGGGTTGGAACACCTGTCACTGGTGCTATTCAGAGACTGGAACTTACGTCACAACAAGTCGCTTGACAACATAGATCAAAGACGATACCAACATAGACCGTTTGAAAATGAGTTGGGCGCGCAGTGAGACGACATCCGACCCAAATGCATGTTGATTGGTTTACTCTAAGGGCTGCCTGACCCAAATGATTGAGTCTTGTACTCTCAAACCACATTTGGCGAAGCACAACCGGTATCTGACAAGTAGAGTTCGCTGTGAACAACTAAAGAGAAATGTCACACGAATACTTTAAGAAGTTCAAATTGCAAGGACAGATAACATCTCAGCGAAAGGATCTAAACTCAGTATATTCTCTACAGCCAATTACATGCTGTGGGTGAAAACTTCAAACGATTGGTAGTGACATCAATACCGAAAATCAATGACTGATTGTGTCAGTGAAGCTGCCGAGCCCTAGCAAGGTAAACCAACACTGACCAAAAACTCAATCCCCTTGCAAAGAATAGGCCGAATGGCAGAAGCCTCAGCAAAAAGCGGTGATTCGAGATTGATCTGTTTACTGATAACGTTGAATGTCTCACGGGGATGTCGATACATGTAACAGTGTTAGGCAACAAAGATAGCACGTAATGTCACATCACTCAGAGCCAGGTTCCGTCAAGTGTAGCATCTTTCTGGCTCGATGGATGTACAATAGCACTTTATGGTATGACGTATGCGATAGCAGAAACGTTTATCATTTTGCTCCCCTTCTTTAAAATTGCAGACCGCTTTGCCTGCGGCACAATTTCCCCTACGGTCCTAACAGCAAACATGTCAGGGTAACGATTTTCACGTAGAGTGGATATGACACCCTGTGGTTCCTTCTCAATCGTTTCATCAAGACAGATACGATGGGCTCTCACAAAAGGCACGAATCAGGGAGTGCTTGTAGTTAAGATATTGCCCCGTCCAGCTCGATTCATGGCTAATTGATGTTATGAGCGAGACATCGGATCTTTTCTCCAAAACTGAACCTTTTTGATGCTTCGCTCTCCATAATGAACCTGGTCTCAAGGTGGCATGGAGAAGGCTTTCCGCCTGTTGAGCATGGTCCACCAGAAAAACATACTGAATTCAGATTATCCCGCCAGAATGCTGCATGTTCTTGTGCTTTTTTAAATTAAACGGTAGTCAAACGAAAGGCTAAACTGCGTCATTTAGTGCAAATTGTCTAATGCATTGGCAGGTCGAATTTGACATATTCTGGAAAAACAGCCTGTTACGGAGAGCCAGCGTACAAGCCGAGAAGCATGGCGCAACATTGGAGATCGAACTCGAATAGAGATCAAAACCCGAATCTATGTGGGATCAGCGGCAAGTCGCACCACGAACTTGAACCATCTGAGTTATGTTAATTCATATTAATTAGCATCTCCAATATTGTTGTGTTAGTAGTTGTGTACAACCTAATTACTGTGCTATGCTCTCATACAATACGAATCCGAATCCCTCGATCCGGCTGATGTTGGCGTTCTCATTTCGTTACAGGTTGAAGTGGTTGGGGGCGGCAGAGCAGATTCAGACAGGTTATACGTACAGACAGCGGAACCCACAACAAATTTCGGGGGGCATCACAACAGATTTCTGGCTGCGCGGTAGCAGCAGGTTAGCCGTACATTCAGCCTCAGATCATTATGTAAACGAGTTTCCATAGTAATCCTAAAATTTAAGTTATACAGTCCCAAAAATCTTGACAAGGTACAATTTATTCATGCGCAGACAGACCACTAGTATAATAACGCCAAGTTGCAACGACGCTCCTAGTCGAATGAACGACTTGCGGATTGTACTCACGCACGAAAAGTAGCCGACAGGGTTGGGATTCTCACGATTCATGAAATCTAGTCGTCAAAAGGCAAGTGTAGCGTTGTACAGCCTCAATTATATACCGAGAGCGGTGACGTATGCGATGTTTCATATAGAAAAGTTTGCGCAAGCAAAACTATGGAAACGACGCGTAAGCGAATGAATGGGCACAACGCGAATGTTAGTGAAATGTTTCCGGAAATTGAATGGTTTTAATTACGAAAGCTGGTCGGGAAAAGTGAAATCTTGTAAGTACGGAGGCTGGTTGAACAGGAATGTGAGTGTATGCGTCATAGGTGATTTCGGCTTGTGTTATATTATGGGGGTATCCGTTCCTTATAACAACTGTGCACGAAATCTAATTCATGTGCACTTTCAAATGGTGTGGCATGAATTGCAGTCATCGAAGTACCAGGTCGACGGCAAGCTTCAGATCGAGGAAGACGACTTTAACAGATTGTTGCATAAGCCTTTGGATGGTCCGCTCCATTCGGCAGTGGCAGATGAAGTTCAGCTGACGAGCAAATGAACCCTAGGTCGCGCGATTTGATGAGATCAAACGGTGAACGTTGGGATGCGGCGCACGATTATATAGTCGTTATCCCTAGGGCTGTTCCTGGTAAATCGAAAATCATGCACTAAGCTGCGCCCCATGAAGTTGATGGTAAGCTGGTTAACTTCTATCCAAGACCCATCGTAATGAAGTTGGACCTTGATGTGGTGCGATGGTTTGCGTGTCTCAGGGATCAATTGAATTGTGCTGGGTGGTGATTCTAGCCACCCATATCAGGCAGCTCGATGGTTAGAAGCCAGACCAACTCAGTTTCTTGGCCATTCAGGTTCGGGTCGGCCGGTGGCCGAGTGGTCTGCGCGTCTGATTTGCAAACATAAGGTCACCGGTTCGAATCCGCTTAGGGGTGGGCGTCCTCGCGGCATAATCAGCTCGCGCGCGACTGGTGGTCATGCGGCAGCGAAACGCTGTTACGGCGTACAGCTGATACACTACTATTAGCCTAAGGTTCGGGGCTGCAGTGAGGGTGGACTCCTCATTCCTTAAAACGGATCCCGTGTAGCCCATTGCCCATTGCCCCTGCGGCCAGATTTTTGAAACAAAGGCACTGGTTGAGAACCGTAACGGTCAAATTCTGGGTAACCTGACAGTATATACTGTCTACGTAATACAATAGCATCTTCAAACGGTTTTTTGATGCTCTGACCGACGCATAAACAAAAAAGGAAGTCAAGTTCACTGGACATGACTTAGAGGGTGTAGAGCTGCTCCCAGCTGAACGTCTTCTTTAGTTAGAGTACGCTGACCACATTGCCCTTATCTGTGACAACCCACAAAGGTGCCAAGCAGTACTGGGCAGATTAGCACTGGCTGTCAACCGTTTCGGGCCATGGTTTGCACCACTGAAATCCAACGCTTTCCTCTAAGCTTGGCATGGACCATCTCCTACGCTGACAATTGGTGGGGATCAGCTAGAGGTCGGTCAGAGATTCAACTACCTGAGTAGTTGTATCAGCGCCGGTAGAATCGAAGGCGAGATCACGAACCGTATAATAAAAGGTTGAGACACTTTTGCTAACCTTCGCCACCTATGGCTCCAGTGCTACATCACTCTCCCTGAAGAGTACAGTGTACAATGCTGTCGAACGTCGGATCCTGCTGTACGGTTACGAAACCTGACCAATTAGATCGGAAGACGCAAAGAGGCCAGTTAGGTTCGACAACCGGTGCCTTCGCAGTTTCGCTCACAGCTGGTGGGAACATCGCATGAGCAATTAGCGTGTTCGGCGCCTTGTCGAAGGCACAAAAAGTAGTGAACCGCTCAGCCCCCTTATTGCACGCATCAGGCTTGAACAACTGGGCCACGTATTGCGCATGCTATCACACCGACTTCCACGACGTGAGTTGTTTGCGCGCCGGGGTGTGGATGGAAAATGTGGATGAAGGCCAACAGATAAAGCGGTCAAGAGGAATGGGGCCATTCGTTCGAACTTGGCTGCGATGGGAGCTTCTCGGCTCCCTAATTGGGGCCCGAATGTCGATGAACACGTTTGGCTGGATACATTTGTTGAGATGACTAAAAGCCGACCTCAGTGGAGTTTGTGTTGCGAGTTCCTTTGTCTCTCCGCCTCCCACTTACCTCCATTACCAAGCCCGATCACATTTCTTACGCATAAATCTTTGTTGCCTTCCGGAACGATGTCCATCCGTCACAAGTCACTCAGCAGGGATGCCAGTATTCCATCCTTTTTCTCTGTATGCTTATATAGTGCGGCACAATAGCTGTTTTTCCACCTAGAGGTGTGTACTGAGAATACTGTTGATGGGTCAAGGGTAAGTCTCGATTGAGGAGCGCAGTTAATAACACGCCAGTTGTGGTTATACGCTGTCAATATCAGCGCAAATTAACACCAACTCCGGTCTGAGGGCTGCGTAACATAGTTGACATGGTATATCACGAATTGACACAAAATGGCCGGACCGTAAAGAAAGATGGCCATCGACCTAGTCCAAACCCTCCAAGAGAAGGAGGCGGTGACCAAACACAACCGACAACTGGCAAGTTACCTGGTAAGTGGCTTTGATGAGATTAATGGACAGAGGATGCACGCAAAATTTAGCATCACATCAAGATCACTGGATGGAATTGAAGCGATCCGTTGGAGGACGATTAGAGCTGGAGGATAACAAAACCTGTCGATGAACTGGTATAGCACAAGATAATAAATCGATTTCCCAAGTTCGTATACAAGTAAGGAAGTTAACCAAATCCTGACTGTATGTGCCAAGGGTGTGAAGTGATCACGCGACCGTTATTCCTAGCTAATATGTAGCGCAACGGCTGGAAAAGATTGAAAAGTCAGTTGGTCCAGAGTTGGCTGAAAGATGGCAAGAATCAGCAAATATAAGGGCGTCAAAAATGGCAAGTAAAAACAGAGCACTCACAAACGCCTGAGCGGGATGGAGTGGAAGAGCCTGAATGAAGAGGAGGTAAGACTGGAGGAGAGGCAGCGCGTCTGTTGGTTGGAGTGCATCCGGAGGTGGCATCGTGTTCTGGTTGTGGTGAGATGTCTACTCTGACTGAAGTTGAAACGTTCGTTCCTTCAGTGGCCTCGTCAGAGGATCGATCAGAATCGGGAGTCGTGTTGCTCGAATGAGATATCGGGGATATCGAGGCGATGGTGGATTTGGTGGAAGTGGCGCCGGTTGAAGCACGAAACGGTCCTGAGCGGGTGAAATGTGATCGAATGGCTGAGACTGAGTGGCGAAAACTATACCATAGACGATTTCTGTTCAGAAACGAGTCCGCCAGTGAGGTGTTAGACGAGTGTGCGGAACACGGCGGCATAGCAATGCTGCGCCGAACCGAAGAGGAGATAGAAGGCTCTGCCGGCGGAGACAACGCGTCACTGACGACAGCATCTGAGCACCTCAAACTCTGTACCGTAAAGCAAGAAGAGAAAAGGATAAACAAAACCGGGAGCGTTGATCAGCATCAATAGAACAAATGGATAATAAAAGGAAATGACAAAAAAGAAGTGCAGCGATCTCAAGCACAGCTGGATGCTTCGAAGACACAAGTTGGAATGGAACGGACGTCGATAGTTCATTGATAAGTGCCGTTAAGCCAGAAGTTAACACAAGAGACAATGTTCAAGCTACATATCCACGAAGAAGATCCCAGTGAAAGGGACGATAAGCCCATGAAATATTTGAAGCCCACCTTGTTAGTAAAGCTAACACCATCTTTCAGTAGAGTAAAAATACACCAACATTTCATCCGGATATGGGATGAGGCAAAATTCGCAATTATACAAAACAGACAACAGTTAGTAAAAAAATCATGCGACCATGCGTTCTGAGGGGGGGGAATCAACGGTGGAAGTCTTAGCTCATCAAATGAGCAAAATCAAAGCACTTTTGTAACATATAAGTGACCAGCAAGCAAAACCTAGAGCTCTAGACTGAACGCGGAAGTAGGTTAACCGAAAACGGAAAACAAAACGCTAATTCGTATACGAGAAACCCACTAAGCTAGTAATTACGTCCTTTACAAGCGTTGAAGAGATCACTCAAGTTATCCCCTCGTCTACATCCTAACGTGACCAGGTGATGATGGACGACGAAACTTAAGACAGAACGCATGTAATGGAAGGCATTTCTGGGTCCAACATCAGTAAGAGACGATTGGACGTGGTGTAAAACAAGAACGAAGTCAACAAGAGTGTGGAACGCAATTGTATTCTGTCCAAGACACATGTAACGAAGGTATGAGATGAAGCAAGACGCATCACCGTACCGATGCGTCAGAAACACGTGACTATCACTAGTCGCGCGTGAAGTCGCCCACACCTAGGCGAATTCGAAGCGGTGACCTCAAAAAAGCAAAGCAGATGTGTGGTCCCTTCGGTCACCGGCCGACGAGAAAAGCCCATTGTAATCAGAGACAAGAACATAAGAATGACAGGCGGCAACAGAAAGTACACTTCCTACATGGTAGACATACATCAAAACAGAAAAATAATACAAGAAACCTGGGATGAAAACTTACATTTTCCCTGAAAATCTGCAGTTGAGGCTTCAGCAGGTCTGGCAAAGCATGTGCGTTAACGCCGTTCGGTTGCGGTTTCATCCCATTGGACACGGATCGTGCGGCCAAGTCTCCTAAGGGAAAGGTTGGCAGTCGAGCCTGTGCATCACTAAGCCGAGCTGCTAGCTGCGCATGCATATCGGCCATGTAGGTGGCGAATCGCAACTGGAATTCGCAAAAAGTGAGGCGATACGATACTTCGCAAAGGCTGCAACCAAAAAAGAGAAAAACGCCGCCTGAAAAAGAACGTGCGCAAAAATTCTCCATGGACGATAAATATACAGATACAATGGAGAATGAGCAGGACAGGCGCACATAATCGGGGTACAGGAAGGCACGCAGCTGAAGTGGGGCTGAATTGTGAAAGATCAATGTTCTCGTGAAGTACAAGCTACTACAATATGGAAAAACCAAACGCACGTGAGTACTTTGGTTCATCATTGAGACAATTTACCATGTGTTGATCGCTGTCTCCCACAAACTACCACACGTCACATTCACAAGATTTGCTCATCAGGCCTCATATTAATAATGCCTTGTAGAATCGAATGGTAAACTTCTCGTTAAAAGTGGCATCAAATTTATGGCTGGCGGTGATACGTCACAGTACAAAAAGGGAGCAAGGCCCGTGAATTAAACAGCAGGAGAAAAATATGAGAATCGTATTTAAAAGATAGGTTGACGAACTGTCATGACGAAGTGACCAATCAGATGCAACACACCAATGGGCTCAGTTTGGGAACGGGCGTCACACTGTAAAGGACATGGTGGAGTGGCATAAACATAGAGGCTTGTCGAAAAATCCGACGGACATCATAATCATCATCAATACACGTTAGCCGACGGTAACACACACCTTAGCTAATGTGTCGCAACAAAAAAGATAAGATAGTAAAAAAGTACACTACAAGGAATGCAAAAAGCAAGCAATATAATGTTAAATATCATATGCATTTCGTGTGAGATCGTACTTAGAGTGAGAAGCTAAAAAGGAGGAGGACGGACAAAGAAACTCACAACACAAACATCACTGGGGCCGGCTCCTAGTCATATCAGCAAGTGCGTCCAACCAAACGTGCGCATCGTACATCGGATCCCAGCCCGGAAGCTGGGATGCTTCAACCGACGCCAACTGCGAAATGAGGGTTTGCATTTCTCGACCAAGTCATCGCTTGGCCATCCCTCCTCCTCTTCCAAGCGCACCCCCGGCGCGCAAACAACACACTTCGTGTGAGTTGGTGCGCTGGCATGCGCAACACGTGGCCCAGCCATCAGAGCCTGGTGCATGATATAATGGTGCTGAGCGGTCCACGCGCTCTTTCTGCACCAAGTACGCGACGCCGAACACGCTCATTGCTCACGCAGCGATCCCACCAGACATAAGTTAAGCTGCAAAGACAGTGATGATCGAACGTAACTAGCATCTTTATGCCTGTCGACTTGATGGACCAGGTTTCGTAACGGTACAGGAGGGTTGTACGGACGGTTATAGTCCAAACTCTGCCATTCAGGGCGAGAGTGATGTCACGTCGGCGCCATAGGTGGCGCAAAGCACCTCTAGCTTTTGCTATACGATTCGGAACAACCTATTCGATCCCAGGGGCGCTAATATCGCTGCCCAAGTTCTTGAATTCTTGAACGAGTTCTAGCTGATCACCACCAAGAGTAAGCGCAGGGGTGGGTCCTAGCCAACCTTGGAGAAGTACTTTGCAATTCGATGGAGCAAAGCATAACCTAAAATAACTGACCGCCGGTGCTAATCGATCCAGTGCTGCTTGACACGTTAGCGAGCTGTCACAGATTAGTGCAATGTGGTCTGCATACTCCAAGTCAAGAAGTCACCCACCAGGAAGTAGCTTCACACCATGTAAGTCGTGTCCAGCAAGTGCTGTTTCCATGACTTCGTCAACAGCGAAGTTCAAGATGAAAGGTGACAGCGGGTAACCTTGTCTCACACCGCCAGATATATTGTAGGGAGGCGACAGTTTGCCATAAAACCCCCCACTCTACCCGAGCTATGCGCGTACAGTGCTCGGATAAGTTATGCGTATTTACCGGACACACATTTCCTCAGCACACAGTCCCAAGGGCATATCAAAACACCAAGTCGAATGCCCCTTTTATGTCAAGAAACACGACTAAGGAGAGTCACCAGTAAACACGGTGCTGATTCAACAATTGACGCAAAGTAAAAATGCGGTCGATGTAGCCCCGACGTTGACGAAACCTGATCTGTCTCCCACGAGTGCCGGTCAATCTGTGGAGAACGACAGACGCAAGAAATTTAGAGGCAATTCCTTAATGCATTCCGAACGGGAGGGTCGCTTGAGAATTGGGACCATGAAGAAGCGGCCCTGTCTGCTGGGACAGTTTCCTGTTCCCAATATTCCACCAGTAACGCGTGTAAAATATTTACAAGAGCAGGTCCCTCGAATTGGAAGAGGGCTGGGGGAATTCTATCTGTCCCAGTGGCCTTATACAATTTCAACAGTCTGATCTCACGTCCCACTTTTGCGCGTGAGGACAGATCCAAGGAAACGGCCCAGGGAGAAGTGCACTCATTGTTCGAAAAAGAAAATGATAATCCAGATTGGTTAAACTGCGTTGCAAAGAGTTCGACCCAACCCTCCAAGCGTTTTGACAAGATGTGGATCGGTTGTCCACTCTCGTCACTTATGGTCTCCATAACACCAGCTCTACTGTTGCCTGTTTCCCGTAGCAGACGGAATGACTTATGACGATTACCAATAACAGCGGCTGTTTCCAGTTTCGATGCACGATGAGACCACCAGGCTTCGCGGTCTCTCTTTAGAGTAGCACGCAGTCTCGCCCCAAGATCTTTGCGAGTCTCAATGTAATTGCTTCCAGCCGGAACAGGTATGCGAGTATCCAAAGGTGCCAGAGACCGCGCAGATACCCAATGTCCAGCTTGGCAACTTGATTTGGTACTTGAAAACATGCCTGCCGCTACTAAGGTATCAAGAGTATGCAACCAGTGAGCTTCAACGGTGTTCAGTGGGCGCTTACTCAGCCCGGATTCCAGCGTACTTTGAAAAGCACTCCAAACCCCCGGCTTCGCCAGTTGGCTGGTGTCTGTGCGCTCACAGGGTCGTCGAGGGCGACTGCCAAAACGCACACGCAGGTAAGCACATGCAAGTGCATGATCAGTGTCCACGCTCGTGCTCCAAATCGAGCGACAGTTTTGGATGGAGCCTCTCTAGCTGTAACTGATCGCGATGTGATCGATTTACGTCTATGGCTGGTCCGAGGCTAGTGGGCACCAAGTCACTCTTCCGCGGGTGCTATGTCGAAAGTTAGTGCTCACGAGAAACAGACGGGCATCTACACACAGATGTAGCAGCAGCCCAACCTTATCAGTAAGGGAGCCTACACCAGGTTGGCCGCCGAGAAGAAGCTCATCAGTGGACAATTTCCCGACTTGGGCGTTCAAATCACAAGCAAGCATCACAGCAACCATACTTTCTCGGTAACGAAAGAGATCGTTAGGTTGGTGATAGAAATCATCTTCCACCGAATCAGTGCTGCAGTTTGTGGGGGTGTAGACCACCATGACAAACAGGTATCGGTTGTTTCCGCGCGACTTTGAAGCCAGCCAACCTAACGGTGCACATCCGGCTGTTGACTGGAAACTAATCGGCCAGGGGACTCAAAACAATGTCGACGCCAGCTAGACAGGTACATGAAGCTGCGTCCTCTCCAGACAGGCGCAATAAGAATGTGCCGCCAGTGTCGCATGTGGAAGATTGCAGAGCAAGCATGGAACAGACGGGTTTCTGATAAACAGCAACTATCGATCGTTTGGGTCTCTACTATTCAGGTAAGTGCTGGCTGTTGGACAAGCCGTAGCAAAGTGCGCACGTCGAGGCATGCCAGTCTTAGCGAGGATCGAGGACTCCAAAGGGAAACGGATGAATTGACGCTATGCGCTTGATTGAACATGGACTTGTTGACTGGACTGAAGCGACGCTCTGGGATTGTGTGTGAGTTGAAACGAGACGACAAGCGACTACTGAAGCAAGATGGGGGAGGGAAAAGAATTAGAGAGTTGAAAACAGGGGAGAAAAAGGGAAGTTGGTGTGGGACGCTAGGTAGGAAAAAAAAGGTACCCAAACCCCTGTCCACCCTGCTCGATGCATCAGAGAAGGCAGCGTTGAGTATCCTTTGCGATGGCCAGAGCATCAAGAGATTGTTAAAAGGAAAAGTCATGGTGTTGTATTGCGATTATTTTATGCTGCTGCGCATCAGGCCATGTCCAAGCTGCGTTTGACTCGGTTGACTGACTCATCTTATGGCGCTGCTTGCTAAAGATCGGGATCCCATAAGATTATACGGTCATCTAAAACGCACTTTACCTTCATGTCTCTGCCCAGCTTTCTTTGACCTTCGCTGCTAACAACGGTGCGCGACAATGCTGCCCCATGTCCCAATTCCTCTTCAACTTTGTAGGAGAAGACGTAGTGTGGGGAACCCTAGGGGGCTTAAAGCTTCCATCAACTGAGAGCACACTCGACTTTGTGTGAAACCCGGGTCATCGGCTTTGATCGAGGTGAACGACACCCATGATCAAGTGGTCTTGCACAAACAGCCACTGCTTGCACGGTTCGGTTGCATTAACGTGACCACAATGTGGCCTGAACTCACACAAAACGCGTGAAGGCTTATAGAGAGACAAGGGGAAAATGGGATGCCGCCTATATGCTTCAACAGTTACAGTCCCGGTGATCGAATTTGCCAACGTTTACCTGAACGGGAATCACGATCCACATTGGGATTGCGCATGGGAATCCGTTCGCAAAACGAGTGCTTCAAGGGGACCCTCCAAAGCTAGGCAACGTTTGGTTGAGTCCTAATAGACTAGGTGATTCGAGAGTCTGACTTTCGAATATTCGCACAGCAACACAGCTTCAGGCGTACAAGCACGGGCAACAAACTACGCGAAGGCCGATGGGGAAAGTGCGGGAAATTTAGTTACCGCCTTTGATCGAGGTGATCGAAGTTAACGAACAAGAGAAGGCTTTGCAATGGCACCTGCAGCTTATAAAATTCGGTTGCATTGCCATAAATAAAATGTGACCTGAACATCGTCCAGTCGCCTTACTCCTCACTTCCTGTTAACAAATTGAGGATTTTTCCGCTTAGAATGCAGTGTGTCCAATTTGATTTGCAGAATGTCCAATTTGCTTAGTT